ACTTGTCTTGTAGCCTTATTTGCGATTCTTTTCTGAACGAAGCTCACAGTAACATAATTTGCAAATTCAACAATAACGTAAAAAATATAAAGTATGAACCAATCAATTTGATCTACCACAAAGCTGTCAATAACTGTAACACTCTTACATTGAAACTTGTGGATGAAGAGAATAAGCTTATTGATTGTAAAACTTGTGATATACATATAGAACTACACATAGTCTAGATTCTCTTAAAACCAGATCCACTTTTTAGAGCTTTCAGGAAATCATTATTTTCTTTCGATAGTTTTGCTTTGTTTTTAGCCTTCGTGGCTTTGGGGTGTGGTTTACTATTTTCTTGTTTTTTCAAACTTGGGAGTCCTTCCTGAGGTTTATCTAGTAGTTCTATTTTATTACTTACGTTGGGTTTATTAATCACATAACTGGATGTAGAATTTTGCTCTTGTGTGTGGAAGAATCTCATTATTGAGTTATTTATTTAGTATTATAATTAATCAACGGTAAGCGATTGAACAGATGGACGATGTACCATTTCCTTTAATTCTACAGCCTCATATTCTCTTCTTCGTTTTCTGTTTTTCCTATCAATAAAAGTTTTTGGTGAAAGTATCATCCAGAATGATCTGGCAATAAAGAGGTATACTAAAATTGCTGGCAAAGTGACACCAACTCTCCAAATTCTAAGCCACCATTTTCCAAAGAAACCTTCTACATCATCTAATATCTCATGAGGCATTGTAGAGTCTTGATTACTCGCGTGAATCTCAATCGAAACATCAGACTTTTCTCTCATTTCTTCTATAAGTTCTTCCTCAATATTTGTTTTCATATCCAACAAATATGCTCATTGAACACTACTTTGTCATCTAAGAATTTCAGATCAAATTCCTTGAAATCTTTCATGTTAGTAATATTAGTTCTAAAATCAATCATAGGATGAAGCTGAGGTTTATTGGAAATAATTCCTCCAGAGTAGTCATTCTTAAAGTACCAAATTTTGTCTCCAAGACTTTTAATCTTGATTGGAATTTGTCCTAGTGTTAGCGCTAAGCTCAACTTGTATCCATCGAAACGAGTAAGATCAATGAAATCGATTTCTTCTTCATCAATTTCTTTACAGAATGTAACTTGAACAATTCCATTTGACTCTTGAGAATCTATAAACCTTACTTTGATGGCTGTATGATTCAACTGTTTCTGAATATATCTTCT